AGGACAGGCTTTAACCCCAACAAGAGGAGAGCAAAGACTTACAGAGTCCCCGAGGGTATTCTTCCAACCAAGACCCCCTGTTCAGGCCAGCTCTGTGCTCATTTTAGATTGCTGTGGACTAAGAACCTGGGCTACGGTCAAATTCTAAATCTCAGGGTCACATCTGCAATCCTAGCTACTCAGGAAGCTGAGATCTGAGGACTACAGTTCAAATCCAGCTCAGGTGGGCAAATCTGAGACTCTGATCTCCAATAAACCAGCAAAAAGCCAGAACTGGATATGTGGCTCAAGTGGTAGAGTGCCAGCCTTGAGCAAAAAAAGCCATGAGTTTAAGCCCTAAAACTGGGACGAGCATGTGCATGCATGCACATATCAAGGTACTGCTTGTGAGAGGGCAACCCTGGATAATGACAGACTTGGGAACCAAGACGACAGAGAAAAGTAGGTGCCAGGATAATCGGGGAGAACTCCCACTCCATCAGAGCCCTCATTCCTTGCCCAATCCCTGCCATGCCTCCATCTCTCACAGCCCCAACCCAGAGCAGGGTGAGCGGGCAGCCTCTCAAGGGTCCTGGGGAAATGGATTTTCAACAGTATCCCTCCCTCCAGCCTCTTCTCTTTCCTGCTCCACTGCATCTCTCCCCCACATACCCACCCCACTAACTGCGTGAGCCACAGTCCCCTACCCTGGAGGACAAGTGAGTTCTCAGATGGACCCATAGCAACCTGGTGATGGGGAAGGCGCCCACTCCTCCCCCCACCACAGAATCACATATTATTAAGAGGAAGCTTATTCTGTGTGTGCCTAACAGCTTTCTTTTGTGCCATCCTAACCATGGAGAACGTATCTGTATGCAGGTGCTCCTGGCCTAATCCCATGGCCTCCTCTGGGTGTGAGCTCTGGGCTGGGGACCACTGCCTGAAGCTGTGACAGGGGGGAGATGTAGCACTGCCTTACTGGAGCAGTGTGTATGGTTCCCCAGGGGGTGTGGAGCCTCCCCGCAGGAGGCACACCCATTCGTGACTGTGTATATCCAGTTTGCCTGGGTAGGCGCCAGCCTGTGTATATATTTCTAGCATGTGTGCATTCAGGGCTTGGGTTACTTTTGGGATGCTGCATGTATGTGGCTGAGCCTGTGCCTGCATGTCAGAGGGTGTGCTGAGCCGTGTGGGATTATATGTACTGTGACTGTGGCTGTTCTGTGTGCCCCTGGGTGTGCTGTGTGCAGGGTGCGTGAGTGTGTGTGCTCTGCCTGCCAGGCCGCAGGGCCTCGTGGGGCTGCTGGGGATGGGGTGACTCACGTCTCCTGAGCTAATCCCGCCACCCGCCCGCCCAGCTCACCCTGCTCTGCTGGGCTCATGGCCGCCAGCGCTAGAGGTAGGGGGGGAGGCGCGGGCAGACGCGGCGGGGAAGCTGGCTTGATAAATAACCTGCTGCTTCCCCAGGCCTCTGAAGGGAAGGCTGCTACGTGAAAGAGAAGGAGGGGGAGGTGAGGGAGGCCACCTTGGCCCCCCCAGGCTCCGGCTGCCCTGGCCCCACGGCCCAGGCTGCAGCTCTGGTTCCTGTTTCATCGAAACCTGAGCTGGGAAAAGCCTATCGGGTCATCTTGCCTGTCCCGCCAGCCGCCAGGCCCAGGCAAGCTGCCCCTCAGGGGACAAGCCTGAAGCCTGGTAGGTGGGTGGGTGGGTGAGGATATTTCTGTCCAGACTAAATGCAGCTCCAGGCCTCTGTGCACCCCTCAACAGCTGTTCCGTCTCCCCTCTGCAGAAACGAGTAAATATAACCCCTCCCAGCAAACCCCAAGGCTGCTGTCTTCCCCATGGCCACACCCATATGATGGTAGGGGTGTATCCCCTCTTGTCATACTCCTCTCTAGCCCCCATCCCGCCTAACAGATCTACCAGCAATAGACTACTAGGCTGGGGTCTCTTTATAGTGCTACAAGGCTGAGGGCCATTCCTCATAGCACACAAACTGTCTTTAGGCTTATAAACATGACCCCCTCCACCCTGCCGGCTCCTCACCCCCAGGCCGGGCAATACCAGGCTCCTCCAATCTGCCCCAGCCGGACCCTGGCCAGGAAACAAGTTGTGCCAGGCTGAGGGGGGGCGGGGGGGAGGGAGGGAGTATGACAGCTGCTATTTCCTGGAGGCCACAGTCAGGCACAATCTAGATTCCTGCCTGGCTCAACAATTCACCAAAGAGCCTCTCCCAGGCTCCAGGCTGAACCAGGGTGCCCCCTTCCCGGCATCAGCACACCTCACATGCGGCCAGGTCGGTCTACTTCTTCACAGCTCTGGTATGGGCAGAGGGCATCTGGCCGAAGCAGCCTTTAGGACTGGGAAGAGTGGCAATCTTTAGGGTTCAACAGGCCACGAGGCAGCCTCTGCTTCCCTCCTCCTGCCTGCCCGCCTGCCCACCCGGCTGCTTCCCCCAGCCCCACATGCACCAAATTCCCCACATGCCTGTCTGTCTCTGACAGCTCACGCAAATACTTGGCTGCGAGGGCACCCGCTGTTCTGAGCCCGCTGTGCCTCCTCCCTGTCTTGGGGGGTGGGGGGCGCTCTGCAGACACAGTCAGGGATGGGAGGGGGCCAGAGCTCAGGAGCTTGGGGAAGGCAGTGGGGGAAAAAGCAGGGGCAGGAGGGACCAGACTCAATTCCAAAGCACCAAACCCTAGGCCCTGGCCTGGGGACCACACGGGTGAGCCAGTCTGGCTGGGTGGCAGCTGCCAACACCCCCGCTGCCCGGCACCCCCCCCCACACCGGAACCTCCCAGGAGGACCTTCCGGAGGCCTCCCACTTGCCTCTGCCCATGAAACAGCATCTGCCAGCCCCACAGCAGCAGCTTAGGATAGGCTGGAGGGCACAAGGCCCCAGGGGAAGGCTTTGAAATCCCGATGATGGCCTGGCCCCTCACCAGAGGATGGGGGTACATTCCAGCCCTCCCACAGTGTGAGGGGCACACCTGCCCAGCTGCCATGTCCTCAAAGGGGCTGACTGGGGAGGGGCTTCCTTGCCCCCACACTGTTCCCTGTCCGGCTTGCCTGATTTCCTTCCCAGAATAGCAGTATGGCCAACACTTCAAACAGTTGGGATTTTCTGCTGGACTATGCCTCCTTGGCCAGCTCCTTACCTCTCCCAAGTCATCCCTGTACCCAACCACACCCCACCTCCTTTCTGCAGCCAAATATTTGCCTCTTGCTTTAGCACCCCCAGCATGAAGCACTATTTAGACACTGAATGAATAACTAGCTCCATTTTGCAGATGGGTATACTGAGGTCAAGAAAGAGACCCAAGAGCTAGAACTCCCATCTTATGCTCTTCCCAGAAGAAACTGACTCAAGTCTTACCCTGTTTGTCCACTCACCACCCTATAATGTGTTCTGCTTAGGTCAGCCCTCTAGGCTTGTGGGAGAATAGGATGAATAACCAGCACTTATTAGTCGAGGGCCAAATATCCTTTGGCTCTTCTGGACTATGCTCCATAGCCTCAGAGTGCTCGTGGGAAGAATCCCAGCCTTCCTGTCCTTGTGACACTATGCTGTGAATAAAGCTCCCTCTCCCCATTGCACAGATGGGGCTGCTGAGGCCCCTAGGGGAGGAGAGATGCAGGCAGCCATGAGTCAGAGGGGGAGCTGGGAAGGCGCCCGGACCTGCCGGCTGTCATTGGAAGCAACAGCCTGCATTTCCTCCTCACGCTGGTGCCTGGGGAAGCGTGGGCAGCAGGCAACGGGCGGCCACAGGGAGGACCCCTCCTGTGCCAGCAGGCCAGCCACATCCCCTTGCCATCCCTCATGGGGTGGGGGCCCACCCCCTAAGACAGAACTGGCATTTCTGTCACAGGAATAGACTAAGAGGTTCAACCTGTGTAACTCAGAAAAAGCTTCCTCCCAGAGCCTCAGTGTCCCCTACCATCATACAAGATTGAAACATAGCCATTCATGCTTTCTTCCCACAGAAAAAAAAAAAAAAAAACCCAGGCTTCTCTGATTCTAGAATCCCAACATGACAAGAATGTTGATTTGCGAATCCTTCCATTCCAAGTAGTCTATGACTCTAGATTACTGTCACTAAGAATTCTAGACTGCCAAGAGCTGACAGTCTTAGGAAGGGGCTATGGGTATTCTTCCTCCTGCTATGAGCTCAGTTAACCAATTTCCCACCTAGGTTTGGGGGAGATAGGCTGGGTAAAAGAGGGGCTGGGTGTCCCCTGTCGGGGTCACCGAGTCAACAGAGAATGCGTGAAAAGGGATGGGGAGCTGTGTCTTAGTCTCAGGGGACAGCCTACCTCCTCCTGGCACACATAGTTGTGTGTGCCACAGAAGTGGACCTGCACGGAAGTAAGAGTGGGTGGCTAAGGATTTGTGATTCTGAACCCCAACCCGGCCCAGGAGCTCAGGGGGAGGGGCCTCTGTCAGGTCAGGGCTAGTCTCCCTGCTTCTCAAGTTCCAAGCCAAGCTCCAGGCTTCATCTTCCTGTCTTCACCACCCACTGCTTCCTTCTTCCCACCACAGCCCCTTAGCCTCCCAGGCAGATCCTGATTTAGGCCAGCTGGCAGCCAGCCAAGGCAAAGACTTCTCCAGTCCATTTGATAGATGGAGAAACTGAGGCCCAAGGAGAAGATAGGACCCACCCCACTGGTTTGGCCAGCAGCCTATAATGGTTCCTGCCAGCTTGACTCTGCCCCTTACCTCACTTTTCAGAATTCTTTACTGTCCACCCCACCCCAGTGTCCCTTGAGATTGCTTATCCCCATTTAATGTTCTTTCTTTACCCAACTAGCTAATCAGCTCATCTTTCTGCTGCAGGTGAGGTCTACTACTAGGGGTTACAGAGCTTGAGGAGGTGCAAGGCCTATGTTCAGTAAGCACTCAGGGAGTCTCTTTTGTGGGCCATACAATATGCAAGCGCAGGAAACACCAGAGGGACCAATCCTGGCTATCTTCACGGTATTGGAAGTCTGTCAAGGCTCTGCCAAGACCCAGTCCCACTTACCAATGGCAGGTTAGCAACTCTCCAAGCCTCAGTTTCCTCATCTGTGTATAAGGATGCTAAGAACACCAGATTCCATGGGCTCCTGTGGGGATTAAAGGAGCAAAGGCCTGAAAGCTGTAAACACAGTGGCTGCCCCAATAAGGGCTGAGGCTAGCTAGCCATTATCACTGTCAGTGTACAATAGATGATCTAATGTTAGTAATAGTTGCAGGCAGTGACTGATTACAGCTAAAGCTCTTCAAACACTTACTTGGTGCCAGGCACTGGGGTACAGGAAGGAATCACTGCCACATCCCTCAGTGTTAGGAGACATGGCCCTATCTTCAACGACAGCACGTATTCCTGGTTAGGGAGTCATTTTGCATATACACAGGTGCAAACACTTAGGTGTGTGCACATGCCTGAGTGAGGGACTTGTGTCCAGTGACACCTGGAACACAGCTGCTCAAGCCCCTGTCACTGCCATCTATCCTTGCCAGTGACTTCCACAGAGCTGAGGGACCGTGGCAAAAGCAGGAACGAGGCTTGGTGGAGAGAAGGCTGCAAAGATTTTTTTTGTTTTTGTTTTTTTTTGCATAGTTCTGGCCACCAGATTACAGGCCTAGGTTAGGTCCCTGGATGGAGGTCCTTGGGTGTCGCCCCCCCCCCACACCGTTTCCCCACCAAAATCCATAGCAGCATCACAAACAAGTGTAGTGACAGGCCAGGCAGGCTGAAGAGGTGAGAGGAGGTCACAGGCACGGGAGGGAGTGGTGGGCCCAAGGGCCATGTGGGGTCTGCCAGACAGGGAAGGGTGAGTCCAGGGCTCTCCAGGGGCCACCGGGCAGGCCTGGCTCTGCCCTGCTGGGGCCAGCAGCTGGAGGGGAATAAATATAGCGTGGGGCGTCCCAGCCACATTCCTGGGAGGCCAGCGCGGCTGCCTGCCCGCTGCTCTAAGCAGAGCACAGCAGCCAGGGCTCAGAGCCGCCACTGCCCTCTTCCCAAACAAACAGAAAAATAAATAAAACCAGCTCTCATGGCTGGCCGGCCCAGCTGGGGGGGAGATGGCAGGAAGGGGCGGAGGGGGGGACAGCCCAGCAGGACCAGTTGCCGTGGTTTCTTTTCCATTGGGTAGGAGAAGACCAACAAAAGAGAAAAATGGAGGAAAAGGGCAAGGAAATGGTCAGAGAAGAGGAGAGAACCACAGGAGAGAGAGAGGGGAATGTCACAGTGGAGGTGCGGGGAAGGGAAGTCAGGAGGGACAGGGAAAGCAACAAGGATAGGCGCTGCTGCTGGGGCTGTGGGGGAAGGCAGAGGCGGCCTCTAGGTCAGTAATTCAGTGACAAGGATGGGGAGGGTGGCAGGCAGACAAAGAGGGCCGTGTGGGCTGGGGCAGGGGGCCAGCTTGAAAGGGCCATGAAATATTAAAGAGCCTAGGCCAGTGAGTGACAGAGGTCATAGAAAGCAGGACACTAACTAGTGAGCGCGGAGGGACCCCAAGACAGAAGGCTGCCCCCTCCCAACTTCTGTCACAGCCAGTCTTCCCAGCTCGCTTGCCACAAGCCCTCCTTTCTGGCTTGCCATGGACAGAGGGGACTGGAGGAGTATAGGAGGAATTGAGGTGATCAGTGACAGGAGGGAGGCCCTTGTGGTTTCCACTTCCCTTGGGGTGGTCTGGGCAAGTCGGGCCTACCCGAGCCGCCAGCCACCCTAGCAAGAAAGCCAGGAGGCCTGTCAGCACAGCCACTGCCACGGGCGCCTCCTGGGGAAGAAGGGGTAGACATCTGGCTTCCCCTTCCCAGAACAAATCAACGAAGCCACCGCTTTCCTCAGAGACCCACTGGCTGGGAGTGAAGACTGCTTCACAGCTTAGCTGAGCCAGCAGGTCATCCCCAGGCCCCATTACCAGCCCATGACCTTGGCTAGTCTCTAGCCCCCACAACCTGTGCCATCAGCTTTTCCCACCCCAGGCTTGGTGTGAGGAAAGAGGGCAAATAATATGCAGGAAACCAGGCAGCTAACCCTGACACTTACCCTAAGGTCAGTGTTCTATTAGTCCCACTTTACAGATGGAGAAGAGAGACCCAGGGAGACAAAATAACGCACCAAGATCACACACCTGGTAATGAGCAAGCTAGAATACTGCTGCGAAGTATATAAGCCATGTGCTTTGCTCTTCTAGTCACTGGGGGATATGAAGGCCTCACCACCACAAAAGCCAACTTTTAGCCAGATGCAGGCTATGGATGCCTGTAATCCCCAAAAAGGATCATGAGCTCAAGGCTAACCTGGACTACATACGGAGGTCTTCATTTTGTTGTTGTTTTGTGCCAGTCCTGGGGCTTAAACTCAGGGCCAGGGTGCTGACCCTTAGATTTTTTTTTTTTGCTCAAAGCTAACTCTCTACCATTTGAGCTACTGCTTCACTTCCTGCTCTTCAAGGCTTAACTAGAGACTAGAATCTCATACCATGATCCTCAGATCTCAGCCTCCTCTCCAAGATGCTAGGATTACAAGGGTATGCCACTGGTGCCCCACTGGAGGTGTTGTCTTTAAAATTAAAAACAAAGCTGGGCGCTAGTGGCTCACGCCTGTAATCCTAGCTACTCAGGAGGCTGAGATCTGAGGATCGCGGTTCAAAGCCAGCCCGGGCAGGAGAGACCGTGAGACTCCTATCTCGCTATAGCTCAAGTGGTAGAGTGCTCACGTTGAGCTGAAGAGCTGAGGGACAGCGCCCAGGCCCAGAGTTCAAGCCCCACGACCGACCAAAAAAAAAAAAATTAAAAACAAAAGGTGGGGGGGTATGGAAAGGTGGCTCAGCGGTAGAGTGCTTTGCCTTGCATGCCTGAGGCCCTGGGTTTGGTTCCTCAGTACCACATAAGCAAAAAGAAAAAATCCAGAAGTGGTGCTGTAGCTCAAGTGGTAGAGTGCTAGCCTTGAGCTGAAGAGCTGAGGGACAGCGCCCAGGCCCAGAGTTCAGGCCCCATTACCGGACCAGGGGGCTGGGAAGGTGGCTCAGTGGAAGAGTGCTTGTCGTAAATGCATGAGGCCCTGGGTTCTATTCCTCAGCACCACATAAGCAGAAAAAGCCAGAAGTGGCTCTGTGGCTCAAGTGGTAGAGCACTCACCTTGAGCTGAAGAGCTGAGGGACAGCACCCAGGCCCAGAGTTTAGGCCCTATGACCAACCCCCCCCCAAAAAAAAAGCCAGGTGCTGGTGGCTTGCACCTGTAATACTAGCTACTCAGGAGGCTGAGACTTGAGGATCACAATTTGAAAGCCAGCCCAGGCAGAAAATTCCCCATGAGACTCTCATCTCCGATTAACCACTCAAAAACAAGAAATAGTGTTGTGGCTCAAGTGGTAGAATGATAGCCTTGAACACAAAGAGGCTCAGGAATAGTGTACAGGCCCTGAGTTCAAGCTCTACAACTTACACACACAGAAAAAGAAAAATACTAACTTTAGCTAACTAAATGCAAACTACGAATGAGCCACCATCCACATTGGGCACTTTGTGATCCCTGTGTCCATCTACTGGTCTTGTGAGACACCACTTATTGTCCTGTTTTAAAGATAAGAGAAACAGCTGCGTGGAGAATTTGCTCGTGTCATATATCTAGTATGGAACCAGGTCTGATAGACTGAGTCCGACTGCTTACATACACTTATCTGTGTGGAGCAAAGAAGGGAAGGGGTTGGGGATCCACTAGGAGAAGAACTCAGTGATCACTTGGCTTTTAGGACTTTCTCCTAAAACAGACACCATGTAAAGAAAAAGAGAGAGAGAAAAAAAGGTCACAACTGCTGTGCTAGGGGGAGAGGTAGCCAGTATAGGAGGCAAGAAGAGCCTATGGAGGCCCCAAGTTAGGAGGTCTATCAGAAGGATCCTCTTAGTCTATAGCAGTCTCTACACTGGTTAACACAAGACCCCTCTCCCAGCATAGATACTGAGGCTGGTCTAAGGTCTTGCAAGAGCCCCACCCACCTGGGTCCCCTGGGCTCCAGGATCAGTGGTAGCATGAACTAATCACCCTCCCAGTCCTCCTCTCCACCAGCCCCTGGTGAAAGGTAGGTCGGGATCTCCCCCCTCCCAGTCCCTGCAAGCCCAGAGGGAGGCCAGCATCAGAGGCAGGAAATGAAGAAGAATTTGCGATCTAATTGAGCTGGCGGGGGATTAGGCAGCAGAATGCAATTACTGGGTCTGGAGCTGGGCCAGGGGCTCTGACACCCCAAGATGTAGCCTTGCCCAGGTGACTGGGCCCAGCTATTCTCCTGGCCAGAGACACTCAACTAGGGGGTGGAGGGATAGGTGAGAAAGGGTTGGGACTACACTGCTCTTCTCAGCATGCTGAGAACGGCAGGGTTCTAGTCACATGTAATACTCAGAAGCAAGAAGGCTTTCTGGGAATTCTCCCCCAGCAGAATCAATGACAACCCCATGGACTCCCTATGAGGAGCAGGCAGACAGGCTGTGATCATGCATGTACATACATGTTTACATGCTCCCCGATAAGCTCTACACATTCACATTCACCTGCATAGGGATGCAGACACACAACTGTGGCCCTCTGCTGCCACTGGCTCCGCCAAAGGGGAGAAACATAAAAAACACCCATGACCTTAAAATCCTTTTATTTCTGTAATCACAGGCTGCCATCGCCGTGGATACGCGCTGTCACCCTGGCCCCAGCCTGTCTCCCTCCATGGCTTCCAAAACTCCCAGCAGGCAGGCAGGCAGGGAAGCTGCCCAGTTACTGCAGGGGGGGAGGGGAGGGGGGAAAGAAGGTGACAAGGGAGAGAGGATGGAATGGAAGGGGATAGAAAAACACATACTAAATGGGGGCCACAAACAACCATGTAGGGAAAGACTCAGAACGAAGAGATGAAGAGAAAGGAACATACTGCCGACAGCCACCAAAGACACAAGACCACTGCCCACACATCTCAGATATACCACTTCTAGACTAGTGAGAATATTCAAATCCAGACACACACCATTCAGGCAATCAGACACTCCTAGATTTATACAGATACATACCAGTCACAAATTCAAATTCTCCAAAAATTCCAAACATACAGAAAGTACAAAATATACGCGCATGCACGCACACACAGACTCACACAGACACAGACACACCCGACAGGGTCATATCTTTCAGGTACATCATCTCAGCTTTATCACTGAGGAATGGATATATACAATGCAGCTAATTCACCCTGGTTCACAAAACAAAATTATTCACTCCAGACTACCACATCCTGAGACAGACAAGCAGACACATTCTACACACAGATTCGCAAATGAAGAGATATGCAACCCTGAGACCCATCTCCTGGGTCATATGCACACATACCACCCAGGTTCTCACAAGGTAGACCAACAGACTCACGCCACACAGCCTCATCTCTGCCAGCAGACAGTGTTTCTGGTTTTAGGGGGCAGGTAGAGGGTTGG